GGTAGTTCGTTCCAGAGGGTGGGAGCTCCCACCGAGAAGGCCCTCCCCCTGGGGGTCGCCAGCCGGCACTGTCTGGCTGACGGCACCCTGAGGAGACCCACTCTGTGGGAGCGTACCGGCTGATGGGAGGTAATCTGAGGCAGAAGGCGGTCTCGGAGATATCCAGGTCCGATGCCATGGAGCGCTTTGAAGGTGATAACCAACATCTTGAAGCGCACCCGGAAGGCCACCGGCAACCAGTGCAGCTCGCGCAGCAACGGTGTTACATGGGAGCGACGAGTCCCTCCCAACACTGCCCGCACGGCCGCATTCTGGACCAGTTGGAGCCTCCGGGTGCTCCTCAAGGGAAGCCCCATGTAGAGAGCGTTACAGTAGTCCAGGCGGGAGGTGACGAGGGCATGGGTGACTGTGCGCAAGGCGTCCCGGTCTAGAAAAGGCCGCAACTGGTAAATCAGGCGTACCTGATAAAACGCCCCCCTGGTCACGGCCGACAACTGGTCTTCCAGTGTCAGTCGTGGATCCAGGAGGACCCCCAGATTGCGTACCCTCTCCGAGGGAGCCAGAATTTTGCCCCCTATCGTCAGCGATGGAGTCAGCTGACTATGCCGAGGCGCCGGCAGCCACAGCCACTCGGTCTTGGAAGGGTTGAGCCTGAGTCTGTTCCTCCCCATCCAGACCCTTACGGTCTCCAGGCAACGGGCCATCACGTCAAGGGCATCGTTGGGGTGGCCTGGGGTGGAAATGTACAGCTGAGTATCATCAGCGTACTGATGGAAATCCACAAAAACTTATCTTCAGACTATATAAACAATACTCTTTCTTAAGTTTTGTACAGGTATGCATTTTTTACATCTACAAGTAGTCCTTGACTTGAACCTGGAATTATGGTTGCAAGTCATTGCAGTCATAAGTTGAGACATTACAGACTGGATTTGAAATAATGATCATTTTTTATGATGGTTCTAAACAAGCATGACAGTCATTAAATGAAGGCAGCAGTAATTAAGTGAATCCATTTCCCCCAAAGGCCATTATTATTTTTTTTTGCCAGAAATCAGAAATGCCAGGAACTGGCAAAAATGTCACAAAACATGATCATGTAATCACAGGGTGCAGTAAACAGCTATAGAAGTGAGCTCGTAGCCAAGCACCTAAATGTAATCATGTGACTAAGAGGTGGAGTGCAGCCACCGTATCTCCAAAAACGGGCTGTAAGTAGCTCTGAGGAGGTCCATTATAACTTTGGTTGTTAAGCAACTGGTTGTAAGTCAAGGACTACCTGTACCTATTTTGACTCAACAGAATAGTAGTTTGGACACTGCATTTTGCCGAGCCGCATTAGCCGTTGATAAAAATAGACAAAAAAAAGAATAGTGTGTATTCTAAGTAAATGTTTGTACGTCATGCTGTATCAAAAACAAATGTACTACATTGTATCATTTAGCTGTCCTTTCAAAGTTGCTACTACTGCTGTTCTTCTTAATTATTGCTTTATTCATTAGCTATTTGCAGAGTTGATAACAACCCTTTTTGTACACAGAGATGCCAATTTCCTTCTTAACTACTAGGTACCTATCTACTATCAAATGTAAAAATAAGCTATATGCTCTTTAAAGCCACCCAGAAGTTATAGCTTGTGCAGAACTGGACACCCCTCGGTTTGCCATGTGATATCATTGCTATGTGAGCTGCATTGGCTCCCAGTTTTTCTTCAACGTGCATTCCAAGGTGTTAGTTATCAATTAAACCCCTCTATGGCACAGGGCCAGCTTATTTGTGGGTCCACCTCTCCCTGAAGGTATTTGTCCATTCCATCAGATCAGACCCAGGGAACACATTCTGGATCCTTTCCCTAGTGCAGTGGTGGCGAACCTATGGCACGGGTGCCAGAGGCGGCACTCAGAGCCCTCTCTGTGGGCACGCGCGCCATCGCCCCAGTCCTAGGCCTTCAGCTGGGTTTTATAAAACCTTTTCGCTTTAGGCCTCCGCCACCGTGTGCAAAAAAAAAAAGGTTCAATCAATCAGTCAATTTCAACTTCTTGCAGGAAAAAAAAAGATCTTGCAAAGTTGGAATTGATTGATTGAACTTTTTAGTCCCACCCAGTCTGTCATTACCACCGCAGCCACGCCCGCCCAATGAGTCACACTCACCCAATGGGCCACACCCATCCAATGGCCACCCCCACCCGGCACCTGACGATGCATAAATGGGTTTTGGGTTTCAGTTTGGGCACTCGGTCTCTAAAAGGTTTGCCATCACTGCCCTAGTGGAACTTAGCAAGCATGCCTTTTCCATAGCAGCCTTGCCTTGTGGAATACCATCCCCTTGAGATCCAGCAGTCTTCCACTATCTTAACCATCTGGTTAGCTATAAACAACTGATGTTTCCTTGGGTATTGGGATAATAATAATAATGATGATGATAAAGTTGGAAGGGACCTTGGAGGTCATCTAGTCCAACCCCCTGCTCAGGCAGGAAACCCTATACCATTTTGGACAAATGGCTGTCCAGTTTCTTCCTAAAAACTTCCAGTGTTGGTGCATTCACCGCTTCTGGAGGCAGGTTTTTCCAGTGTTAACGTGGGCGCCCATAGATTGCATAGATGAATAGATGGAGATGATGGATTAGTTCCCTGTTTTTTCTTGATTTTTCTTCCAGGTTTGTGATTTTATTATTGTTGCTAGCCATACAGAGTTGTACTGCACAACCTGGGCAGCCATCTAATTTTTTTTTTTTAAAAAAAAATAAATCCTTCAAGTGTATAATTACTTAATTGTGGATCTGGAAGGAGGCCATTGCCAGTCTTGGACAAATGAACTTTATCTCAGACAGAAAAATTTTGATGAAGGTGTTGAACTAACAAGTAAAATTACAAAAGGAACTTCAATAGTGTGGGGGTTATTGTCTTCCTGAATTATTTTTCTTATGCCATTGAATTCTGCATGTGCTGTTACATCACACACTTCACGTATACATACTTATCTGGTTGCTAAGGGGTTTAATATGTCATAGTAAGGTGCTTCATCTTCAGTATGTAAGGTGAAGCTGCTCTTAGACATAGTGAACTTTTTAAAGGACAGATGGAGTGACTTGATCTGTGTGTCCAGCCCTTCCTGAGGGTGCCTATAATATTTGTAAGTGACTGATAATGGGAGGATTTTGAAGAGTAAAAATTATGATAATATAATCAGAGCAGCCTAATCTAAGGGGAGTTCTTGAATCTCCAAGAGCTGAATACAGTGGTCATACGCAGGAAACGTCTCCCAGCATAATTTTCCATTCCCTAACTTGAAGATTTAATTTTCAAGTTATCTTCATGATTTCATGGATATAGCTTAGGTAACTTTTAACACCCTTATAATTTATGTACTTCCAACATAGGGATAATAGTGATCCAATTCTGGTTGCAATGAAAGCCAATAAAAAAACTTTGCAACTTGCAAATTTTAATAGATGTTCTTCATTGTGGACCCATACCTAACCTCAATTTAACCCAGATTTCTGTGAATGAATTCTAAGTATGTTTTTCAATCCTTCACTATGAAAGATGCTAAGGCTTCAGAAATAGAAAGTTTTATAGTATAATCAATATTCTCTTTAGTGAAACTAATGGAAGAATCAGAGTCTGCTTGACTTCTTAAAGTATCGGTTGTCTGCAGGTTTTTCCTAAAGTAACAGTTTTGCTTGTGAGACTATATATATCCAACTCTATCAGTGACAGAACTGAATGCTTCTTTTGTCATTGATTGTGTTTTTTTATTTTCGGAAACCATATTTTGTTGGATTGTTATATTTTGCATTTTGCGTGAATTTAGAAATTGATAAATTAGTGCTTGATTTCTCAGTTTGAGGCCCATGGATGCCAATATGCCTGCCAATGCCTTCCTTAGTATCTGATAAGTTTCCTACTTCAGTAGCCCCCAACCTTTTTGGCAGCAGGGACCAGTTTTGTGAAAGATAATTCTTCCATGGACTGTGGGGGGAGGATGATTTCAGTTTTGCCTGCTTACCGACCACTCACCTCCAGCTGTGTGACCCGGTTTCAGTCCCTGAACTGGGGGTTGGGAGCCCCTGCCCTACT